TGGAGGGATATTTACTGATAATTTTGCATATCTGCAGAGTTAATTAATTTGATATCTTGGAACTTTAGACTCACATACATGTACTTTTACTCAGAGAATATTTTCCATTATGATATTGCTAGGAATATTTATTGAAGGGTTCAATTTATATTTTTAGAACAAGTTTTACATCTTCTTTCAACAAACTTTGCCAAAAAATGAAGATATGTCTAATTAGTCAATATAAAATTTACACCATTTTTTGCCTGAAAATCACATATTGTGACCAATATTTCAAAATTGACATCACTGGCCCGGTAATATGGTTGCATCTGATAAAATATAATTAAAGTTTAAGTTATTAACCACATAGTTAAAATTTATGTGCAAAAAGGTCAACTTCACTGTACCGTAAATCAGTAGGACACTGACCCCCCCCCCCCCTATTTTCTCTACGATTTTGAATACTTATCAAAAATAAACTTCTCAATAAATCCTTGATTTTACAATTTCACTAGTGACATAGCTAAATTTGTTGCAAATAGATTAGAAAACATGAAAATGTTCACTTAAGATCGCAAAGCCTTAAAGTATATAAACACCACAATTTCAATGTTGTACCACAAAATTGGGGCAACCGGAAGTTGAGAGGACTGGATATTGATACCAAGGCATTGGATGACAAGCAGACGATATAAAAGTCAATCACTGCATATTATTTGATTTTTTTTTATCTGAGAGACTGTTTCTGGTTTAATCTTAAAGACCATTATTGGTAACTAGCAATGCATATATTTGGACAAAAAAGTGCGCAGTGCTCACAAAGATTCTGAGATACGTGATTTTTCAAAGCAGTTTACAAAATATATCCAAAAATAAAACTGGGCGACAGTGGCAGACACTACTTTCTAAATGAAAATAAGCAAGGAAATGAGTCATTTTGAGGCTTTTCTGCATTAAAACTTAGAAATGTACTGAATTAATGACGTCATATTTCCAGAATGGTCCTACTTCATTCCATATTCTTTAATGTTTTAGCATATTCATCTACTCAACCCTTGTCAAAGCCAATTTCATAACTTTTTAAGAGATTTAATGTTTAGGGCACAATAAAGCCCAAACCCTACCTTCCTCTTTACCATGTGAAAACAAATTATTTGTCTTTTTTCTATCATGCGTAAAGTCCGGCAAGGGTCTATGAGATAAGTGACTTTAGAATTGAAAGACGGTAAAATTGTTTGATAAAAGTTTCAGTTGGAGTGAATTGATATGTTTGAATTATCTGGTTATCACAGATCTTACTGTGTCAGCAAATTGTTTTAATATGTCGCACGTATAAAATGTGAATCGTTACTGTGTCGGAGAAAATTTTACTGTGTGATGACCAACAAAGTAAAACAGCTCATGGAGAACTCCGAGCATAATTTTTTTGTATGAATTTTCGGGCAGTCAAAAACTTCTAGCAATCTATACTTGTCAAAATTTCTAAGTCTCCACTTTTATTTTTTTCAAAAAGTTAAAAACCTTGACTTCAATTTACTAGTTGCTTACAATTTTGCCTTTAATTTGCAATACTTACCTGTCAAGGCCAAACATTTTTTAATCGAATGTGTAATTACTTGACCGTGACCGTTTTTGTGAAAAAGCATGAAGTTCGAGTTCCATATGTTTTTCGGGTGTATTCTTTATATTTTTTTACTTCCATGTGTTCTCCATCTTTAATTGATAACGAAAAACAGAAAATGTTTGACTAAAATGTGGTGCATGTCCACACAGCAACTTGCAAGTGAAGTTGAAATGGCCCAAGCTGGCCGTAGTAAAGGAAAATTCTGTTGTTCTTCACTGTATGACTTTATTTTACTAAAATCCATTATAATTACCGCTCAAAAAACCTGCAAAGCTTACCTGAATTCTTTTAATCGTTACAAATTGCTAGATTTTCAACAAACACCACAAAATCTTTCTAGAGTTTATCCGGAAAAAATCCATGGAACAGGACAATTTCGATAAGCCTCCTTGTCTTCCTTATCTCAACCCTAAATAGCATGTATGAAATCAAATTGACCAGAGTGTGAGACAGCTTTTCCAGCAGCAGAATCTAGCTGAACTAGAGGATCCACATGGAAAAACATTCAATAAAATAGGAATAGGTTTTCTTAAATAGTGTGAACTCTTTGAGGAACGGTTGTCTTGATTTGAATTCGTTTGAATGGAGAATAATGCAGTATTAAACGTTGTGAATTTTTAATTCTAGGGTCCCTTAACGTTTCTGCATATTTTGTTAAAGCGCTTCGATAAAATAAATTAAGTAAGGAAAACCATGTTCCTAGTTTAATATCCTGTATACTTATTAAATTATACTGTTGAAATAATTCAATATAAGAGCAGTGTAAAGCAAAAACTTGCCTGGGAACTTTGACTAGTATATATAGGGGGATGTCAAAATCGTTAAAGTTTAGGGAAAGAATTATATCGTTATTTTTCCCCATCTTATTGAAATCGTGCTTTTCAAAATATTCTTCATTCAGATAAAAACTTCCTCCATCCCAAAATCAAATTTTATTTCCTTTTCTATACAAGTATGAGATTAAACAAATGCCAATTAAGTGTAATACTGCCATGAAATTTTAGATATGTACTTTAGATTTTAAACATATTAGATATTATAAAAAGGAGGCATCCTTTACATATCAACCTTGAATAAAGTTCTCTCCCCAGACAGAAGATTTGTGTTTTAATGGTCTCCATGTTTATTTTTGGAAAGGATATATATGTAGTTTTATCCAACCATTATGATGCCGAGATTTGATCATTTCTGACAAATAAACTGTTCTTGTCATAAAAATTAACTCAAAGTGAAGGAAATATAAAAATCAGAAAAATCTTTTAACTTTTGTGACAGAACGCTGCGGAAGGGGTCACGTGACCGCCGATATTACGTGATTCGCACATGCTCAGAACGGTAGTTGATGTGCATCAAAATCGGAGAGGATTGATTTAAAATATAGTCAACATTGAAACCAAATATTGTTTCGTCTATGGAAATTATTCAATTAGTTCAATTACTTCTTGATCACCCCTCGTGCTTCGGAAAACAAAATTCCAAAATAGCATAATTTGAATCAAAAGGTACCAGTAGCTGAGTTTATTACTAACGATATCTTGGTAACTTTACTGCCAGCCCATGTGGAACATCCAAGAGATTATCTTTATCAGCGGTATCAGTTGATATCAGCGAGGTAACAAACCAGCTACTTTAAAAATATCAACATTTGTCTCCAAAAATAGCATAATTTGAAACAAAAGGTACTAGTAGCTGAGTTTATTACTAAGGGTATCTTGGTAACTTTACTGCATGATCATGTAAAATATCCTCAAGATTATTTTTATCAGCAATATCAGTTTATATCAGCGAGGTTACAAACCAGCTACTTCAAAAATAGTAGGCAGTTACTAGCAGCCAACTATGTAAGGGATAAATAACGAGATGGTGTTGAATAGTTTAGAGAAAACATTCTCTCCGAGGGCCGAAGGCCCGAGGAAGGGATGTTTCCTCTAAACTATTCACTATCGAGTTATTAGCTTACTTAAAAAAATTCCCTACTTTGGGCCCCAAAGAAACATTTACCCATTCAAATATCCAACTTGCTGTATTACAATAGGATATAGCCCATTCTAATATCCAACCCTTACACAAAACAATAGCGTTATCGAACACCCCTTTTATTCATGGACTAGTGAGCATGAAAATACATGGGTGCTGATTTCATTTCAATCCTTTTCATTGCACTGATCAGTCATGAAATCAGACGAAGAATATTTTTAAATCCACTGTAAATTAGAGAGGTTCAGATAGTGTTTTGAATACATTTGACCTGAAAGCCGAAGAAAACTACAGAAATTTGAGAAAAGGTTGGGAATTTTTCATAACATATCTCAATATGATGGTTTAAAAAGTGATGAATTCTAATGGAGTTCCATTCGACAATATTTGTAATAGTGCTTAATAGATAAAAAGATTGGCGGTGTTATGCTGAACCTGCAATAAAAAATTCCACATCAAGATCTGCAATAAAAATAGTGTTGAAAAAGATGGGCTGTTGTTTTGGGAAGTATGCCGGAAAAAGAATGAAACAGACGAATCTTGGATAATCTGAAGGAATTTACTGATAACGGACCTTGATATAATATTCAGCAATAAGAAGTGACATAGTTTAAGATTCAAGGTGAAAATGTACTATTGTTTCAAAAAGTGATGCTTTCAAAATTTAAGACCAAAAACATTCCTAAAAGTGTGCAAAATTTGGAGGAATTCTTATTTCTGTGAGCATTCGAAGCGCATTTGAAACACGATAAATGTGATAAATGTGAAGTAATTACGGTAATTCCGTTTGCATTGGAAATTAATTCTAATAGTGTGGCAAATTTGGAGTAATTATTATTTTTCATATGCATTGGAAATACATTTTAAAATTGTTTTACCTCTTTTGTTCATTGTTTTATGTTTTCTGCACCTCGGTTGGGTATTTAAATATCCAACCGATATGCAGTTGGATATTTTGAATATCCAACCGATGGCGAGTTGGATATTTTAAATATCCAACTAGTGCTGGTTGAATCGGTAAAATATACGTAGACTAATAACAATTGGTGACGTCACAGAAATTTTTAAACATACTTCTCACAGCCAGTTACTAGTAGCCAGTTACTAGTAGCCAAATTTACTTACTTCTCGTAGCCAGCTACTAGTAGCTACCTTTACCACTTGTCGTAGCTAGCTACAAGTAGCTAACTTTACATATCTTGAAATTTTCACCTTTATGTACTGTATAATTGAACAGCATTTAGAAATGTGCCAAACAAATAACTTTTATCTGGTACTAAGTTATTGTTGTTTTTTATATTAGGTTGATTAAGTAACTAGTTACAAAGGTCTTTTAGATACATTTGTCTTTTTGTATGAATGAGTTCATCATATATCTAATTCACTTGCACACAATGTCAGTACGGAATGTGTAATGTCATATATCTATTTTACTCTGACTTGTTATGTATTGTAAATAGTCATATCTCTCTATGTATCTGTATACACGCACTTTCTTTTCCCCGAACGATAATCCAACCCAGAGAAGATGACTTTTGTCGTCATAACTCAGGCCCATTTGTACATTTATTCCTTGTAGTCGTGTCAGTATCTGTAACAGGAAGTGACCGTCGCTGTCAAGCATATGTATTGTGTCGGTGATAAAATCACACACCAGGATGTGTGACAGAGCGTCTGAACAGATTCCTCGTGGACTTAGCCAGGATCCTGATGGGTGTCCTGTGTAGGAGAAGCGATGTCTTCCTCCACTCTCTGTCACCACTACAGCACCACTGCCTATGTCAGACACAATAACATCTCCATTGCGGTTCTCTGAGATGTAGATAGGATCAGAATACAGTTCCTGGCCTTTATTGTCTTTCCGCATTGTCTGTTTATGATATCGTAGGTCATTATAGCGTGTTATAACGCCTGTGTTGTAGGACCACATTCCGATCAGTAAATCGCCGTTGAGGTGGGAGGAGTAGATACACCGTGGTATCCATGATTCTGTTTTTTTTATCAATGTAGACTTTGTTCTGTTATCTTTAGAGAGTTTGATAATGTTACCATCCCTGTCTATGTAAATAAGATCACCAGTAAGATTTACAGTGTGTTGTCCCCACACGCTCGGTACATCTGTCACATGATGTAGTATGTCACCCTCTGAGTTTATCAAGATAAAATTATCACCATCACTGATCCAGACCCGGTCTGGTGTCACACCGGAAATATGAAATACATGTATTTTGCCTAGCAATTTGACACACCTGTGTAATACAGGTGTAGACATCAGTTTCAGCAGACATTCATTTCTCACTTGTCTTTTTCCTGTCTCTATTATTTGGATTTTAGCCAGTAAATCAGTCACATTCTCTACGTTGATTTCTTCAATCAGGCAGACCAGGGCAATTTTTTTTAGACTTGGCGTGTCCATTAACTTGTGAACATGAATTGTCTTTTGTAACATGATAAATTTTAGCGGTCTGTTTGCTAACTGTTCAGCTCTGTGTTCAAAGTTTACTATGTTGGAAAGATGTTTCTTCTGCTGTTGTAAACTTTGAATTAATCTTTTGCGTCTGATTTTAATATCACACATCACAGTGTCTTTGAGGTTCCTTAGTTTCTGAGCTTTTATTAACATCTTTGACTGATTGTTGCATATTTCTGTGTGACAATGTTTTATATCAGATTTGATTCCTGCCAGAACACAAGAACTGTTATAGAGAGTCTCACTTCTGATGTTGTGAATGATTTCACTGTGTTCTTGACGGTTTGTTTTGTATGCTGTTCTAATGTCTTGTATGTCGTAATGTCCGTGTTCTACACAGTGGGAACAGATAGAAATTTTACAAGAATGACAGTACTTTTGATAAAACATGCCTGGATGTCTCTCACAAGTCTCTTGTTTTGTAATGTATTCAAATTTCTCACGGTAAATCACAACATCATGGTATATGGTATCTAGATCAATAACATGTCTCTCTTTACACAGTAGACACAGGTCATGTTCACATGTGTTACAGTAGAATTCTGTGTCCCCCTCACATTCAGAACACTGCCTGACTTTACACGGGGGGCCGAATCTTGAACCCATAATCTTGTAGACAAAGTCTCTTGTTTTCAAAGTAGTTATATTTTTTCAAGTAAATCACAACATCATGGGATATGGTTTCTAGATCAATAACATGCTTCTCTTGACACTGTAGACACAAATCATTATTATTACACGTGTTACAGTAGAATTTTGTGTCCCTTGACACTGGAAACACTGACGTACTCTACACGGGGTGTTGTATCATAGCCTGTCTATGATTTACATGATTTAGTTGTCATGTTCACAATCCGCTGAAAGTAAATGAAATCAAAATGTATCAAACACAATACCAGGTCAGAAAGCATGATTGCAAATGTTTTAAAAGAAAAAGATTAACTTAAGGACAGATTGGATGTTACTTTCCCCAATAATATATAACATTTTAAAAAATATTTTGTCATTGAAGTTTTGTTACAATAATTTGTTTGTTTACTCACAAAAAATGGAGGTACCTTACAAAACGCTTGTGCAAAATAGCAAAGGGTAGAGTTTTTATTTAACCTTATGGGGAAAAATCAAATCTTACAAAACTTTTTTTGCTTCAAGTTTTTTAAATGATCAGAAACTGGTTTAGAAATCAAGTTTTTATTGAAATTTTGAATAGTTTTCATACAATATAAAAATATTTTCAGCAGAGATTTGATGACCTTATCGTCTGACCTTAATAAAACTTCATTTGCACAAAATCTCGAAATAAATTAATGGGATTAACTAATAAAGGTTTAAGCCATTTATCAAAGTGAAATACATAATGTACCTTATTTTTTATTTTTATCGGGTTCGGCTGACAGTGTATGTTAGCTAACCCGAATAGAATTATTCCTTTCTTTCCCGGGGTTATTAGCGTTACCTTAATAGAACATTTGACGTCACACGACGTTGTGTCATCAGTCGACGCTGAAACTTTCAAAGGTACACTGTAAGGATGTGTTTTTGAATCAGCAAATCATTTTTGTAAGTCTGGTCTATCTTATAAAAAAATATTCATCTTAGTTTTATAAGAATTGGAAAGGATTATTAACACAATTCTACGCTTCGATGCATAGATATTTTTTAAAGTTTCGACGGATTGGTTGAAAAAAAATCTAGGCAAACCATGCCGTCATGCGGCCATGCGGCGCAGCAGCTCGTGTTTATATATAATTTCTTAAAAGCCTTATAATAACAGTCTTGATTCTAAACAGAATTATAATTACGGATGACTTGAGCTTTTGCTGTTTTGTAAAGGATATTTTCTATATTTTTAATGCGAGACGACTAAACAGAATGCCGAAGCGTAAAGCAGATAGCAATAGTCAGCCCACGCCAAGGAAAGGTCAAAGGAGAGGACATTGTCCTCGATCGGCGTATGTTGTTGCTGCAGCATTGACTGCCCCCTCATTGCTGATTGATCATTCTCAGCTACCAGTTAGCAGCCTTCCAGCATATCATCACTGAAAGCGTAACCTCTTTGATAAGGAATCACAGGGGGGCGTAGTAGAACCAGAATCCTCCCCTATTTTGGATGAAACCTCAGGTGATACAAATATTTCTAGTGCATGTAGGGAAGCTGTACCCAGCTATGACAATGAGTATGGACATAACGTCCCAAACAATGTAAAAATAAATATTGCCAATGGGGAGTACATAAATTTAGGTATACTGCTTAATAATGTCCAAGAAAATGACCCCAATGATGATACCAAAATATTTTTCTCTAAAATACGGGAAACTTGCAGTCACGAGTAAGGCTAAAGCAAAACCCATTACAGACATACAAGTATTGACTGGCGCTTTCCTGATATTTTCTACGATATCTGCATCCGCTCATCCCCATGCAGCGGTATCTTTTGCTGAAATATATACACACAATACGGTTAGGCGCCAGTTGTATTATGGGGTCGGGCAGGCGGGACTATGACATCCAGTTCCGACTTAAAAAAGAACGTAATTCTGTATTATCATTTGCAGTAGTTGACCAAGAGTTGTGGTTACCTCTTTATTTATAACATACCTATGAGGGTGCCGTCTGTGCAGGGATCAGAACCCAATCCCACTGCAGTCAAGTGTTATGATTTTAATTATAAAGGTGCCAAGACAACAATGTCAATACAGCCACACGTGTATCCTTTGCTCACAGCCACACACACACACACTAAGCACACAGAAATTCAAGCAGCCCTAAATACCTATAGCAAACCCCAATCGAGTTCAATCCAATCCCCCCCCCCTTAGGTATCAAGATTCACTAACACCTTTTAGAATTAGGTAACAACTTTACAGCAAGGGTTTCAGGATTTCCATTTATATCTGGACATAAAGGTTTCACCAGCACAGGGAGAGTTTGGGCCATGAATGCACTATGACTAGTTATGGGGTCATAGTGCTAGTCATTTACTAACATGTAATTTGGCGCCATCTTTGTGAATTTGCATTTGCTTGTGACTAGTCTTTTAAGTGGTGATATATTTTTCGCTTACTCGGTATTTGGGCAGCGATTTTGCTGCATTGTATTGCTGACAACAATTTTGCTTATTTGGGCAATACTTCGCCCCAAAGTTATTTGCAGATTAATTAATCGTATTTTAGGACCAGTAATGAATTTATTTTAGCCTCATCGCAGTTCAAAGTAAGTTTTTAGGGGGGGGGGTTACTTAAGTTCGGTCACGCTTTCCCTACTGGTGGCGCAGACCATCTCTGACATGGTCTTGTGGCGGCTATTAGGCTAACCATTAGGCTTTCCGAACTTTTGTCATTTAATTGAATATTTTTGTGTGCATTTTGGACTAGTCACGAAAGGTGAACATCTGTTCCCAAGGTTCCCTTTGCATTTTTAGGGATGCCATTACAAGGCAGAATATTGATGCCTCGGCTCCCTCATTTAAGCGGCCGTGGCCCATTCAGCCAAATAAAATAGTTTCTCAATTTTCTTTTGCTTGTTTGTCATTGAATGCTCCAAGTTAATGTGTGCATTGGGCAATCCCTGTTATTTTCAAGTGTTTTTCATCTTTGATAATGTAATCTAGGCTGTGTGTTTACAATATTCATATACGTCATCTCCAATTTGCAAAACTATAATTTATTAATTTTTGTATGAGGGCAACATAAGTATTGAGGGACCCAAGGACCAAAGTGTTTGACGATTTGGCAGAAGGCAAGAGTTGAATTCTTAAATAATAAAATGCTTTCTTTGGTTCTTGCCATCTAATTAAAATTAGATTTTAGATCCGCTCGCATAATCGAGCATGGGAAGGATCTAACTGCTAATGTTAATTAGATTGTATTGTTGTTGCAGCTATTGCAGAAAAAATACAAAACCCGCTTACGTGTAATATTTTGGTTATGACTAGATTGTACAACATAGAAGAAGTCGAACATGCAATAAAGTTCATATAACGAGTTATCGTTCATGATGTCACTAAGTCACTAGAGGCATAGTTATAGAAATAATGATATGCATTTCACTAGTTATTTTCTGTAATTTTCAAATGCAATTTATCTTGGGATTTTTCTATATTACATTTAAATCGTATGCGTACAATTGAAATGCCGGTGTATATAAAAAAATTATCAATCTAAATTAATCATCAAACATGGATAAATTACAAACAATTGAGTATTGATCTTAATGAAAATTTAGATAAGTTGAGGTATACTATTAAATATATTTTCTTTCTATATTTCGTTTGTATTTCGACTAATACAGTTTGGTTGTTTTGTGTATTGCGAATAGAAAATGCGCTTGAGGGGAGTAATAATCTAGAGGAGACAGAAAAGTACCGTTACAGAAGGTCATATAGGATACAAAGACACGTTTTTAGATGCTGCCTTAAGATCCCCGATCAAATTTTTCACTCATGGGAAAATTAACAATCGCCCGTCCACGGCCGACAGTAGTATAAACGGCCTGGATGGCCGGGTCAACTGAGTGCACTTTTGGGGCTGGGGGGGGGGATAGCCGGGTCAAGGGAGTGCAGCCCCTGGGGGGATAGCCGGTTCAAGGGAGTGCAGCCCCTGTGGGGGATAGGTGGGTCAGGGGAGTGCAGCCCCTGTGGGGGATAGGTGGGTTAAGAGAGTGCAGCCCCTGTGG